CCAGCTCTTCATGGACGACGACTCTTACAGCCGCCACAGTGGCATCGATTACGGAGACCCCGAGAAGTTCGCGGACCTGGGCACCGACCGAGATCCCCATCGGCTCAACTCGCATCTCAAGGTGAAGTCCGGGACGGGTACTACCCTGGGCCTGATGAAGGCTCAAGCCCCTGCCACGGCCTGGGGGAAGGGGTCCCCTTCTACCCCTGCCCCAACCCCAACACCTTGCCGGTGGGTCAGACCCGCGGGGTCCAGAACCCGGATTCTACCCGTCGCAGAGTTCCCCTGCGCAGCCAGGAATTCTTGGCCAAATTCCTGTGCACCCACTGTGATCCTAAGAGAAGGTGGGGCACTTCAGCCAAGTCTTTCTTGCTTACGTCTTCCACCCAGAGCTCTCCTGGTTCCTGGAGCGGCAGGTTGGGTAACAGTTCGGGATCCCTGTGTGTTGTCTCCGCAGGTGGGATTCGATGATGTGATTGCAGAGCCGGTGTCTACGCACTCCTTTGACAAAGTGTGGATCTGCAGCCATGCCCTCTTTGAAATCAGCAAATACGTGATCTACAAGTTCCTGACGGTGTTCCTGGCTATCCCCCTGGCCTTCGCTGCGGGAATTCTCTTTGCCACCCTCAGCTGTTTGCACATCTGGTGAGAATGGGGCACAGTAGGGTGAACAGGCTTTCTGAAACGTAGGAATGTTCTTTGCCACCTGCCCGCTGCCCTCCTCTTCTCCCAGGCTGGCTTGTAGGGGGAAGAATTCGCATCACCTCCGGATGCAGTAGCAGGAACTGGGAGGCCTTGAAAGGCACTGTGCTTTCTTAAGAATTGTAGATTGGGTTAGGAGTTTAAACAAAAGAAAGAATGTCCCTTTGTCCTCCAGCAGGATTTTCCTTCGAATGCTAAGGCCCAGCTGACTGTGGAGGTGGAGACCTGGAGGCCCTGCTTCCAGCAACAGACTGCTCTCTGATACGGCCCTGTTTTGACTTGTGCCTGTGGTTTTGGGCAGGGCTCTTATTTCTCTCATTATCTTTAATTCAGTCACCACCTGTGCTCGAGGTAAAACAAAAGCGATCTCTGAGCAGAATGCCATTGACAGTATCATTGGGAAGGGATATCAGACCAGGCTAAGCAATGCTATGGAGGGGCTGCTCTAATCCTGCCACTGGCAAATGGCAAGGATAAGACCAGAAAAGATGAGCGGTGTATGCAACTAAGGCAAAGGGGCTTCCAGCACAAATGAATGAAAACTTAAACAGCAGGTTAATGAAATCAGAAAGCATCCAAGTTATTTTTTCACCTATGAGGCACAATTCGGAGTGGCATCTAGTTGAATGGAAAATAAATATAGAAACCTACTGAACATCAATACAATGTTTTGAGTAATTTTATTCACACACAAAATGCATCATAAAGCTTTAAAGAACATTTTTAAGCATTAAAATTTTTTTAAGGAAATGTCATATTTTACCTGGAAGTTTTGTTATTGTTTTAAAAAATACTCACTTTACTCTGAGAGGAAGAACATTCAGATCATCCCCCAAATGGCAACAACTGCCAAGCTTGTCTTTTAGGACAGTCCTGGAGAAATGTATAACCCAAGATGCCTCCATGTCTTTTTAACCACTTTATATGATAATTGCCACACCCTAATACATGCTGTGTTCTGTGTTAGAAATTATGAAATCGTTCTCCATTCCCCTTTACCATCTGAATCAGTTTCTTTAGTTGGTTAGCTAGCTATTTAGTTCAACCAAGAAAATTTATTGAGTGCTTAGTGTGTGCTGGGCACTGGGCCCAGAATGAAAAAGATGCAAGACCTGCCTTCAGTTTACTCACAGCACATCAGGGCAGCTGGCTAGGTACAGAGATGGTAAACTCAGTTAAATCTGTGGAGGAGGAAAGAACTGGGAAGGATCTGTAAAGAAAAAAGAGTCTACAAAGGCTTTTAAAGGAAAAATTAAAACTCATCCAATAATCAAAGGATAAACAATACCCATCAATTTAATTTGATCACTAAAAACTGTATTGAAAGTGCCAAAAGACTGCCAGAGGAATGAAAATCTTTGCCTTTATACATGAGCAGATCCACAAAGGCCAAATGTACAGTTAGCTTATATTCTGACATTAGCACAAGAGTTTTTAAAAAGATGCCCATCGGTGCATAAAGTTTTGGATTCCTAATGAAATAAAAACACTCAACTAACCTGTATGTCCATTTTCTCACTTTCAAAAATGTGAAATACACAGTATATTGTGAAATACACAGTATATTGTGAAATGTTGGCCATGAAGGTATCTGGATATATTGAGTGCCATATTTATAGTCAACAAAGCTAGGCTTTCCTAAAGCACTTGTGGAATAACTGACAACAAAAAGGTTTTCATTTACTAAATGGTGCAAAGGTACAAGTAAAACTACAGTTTACCAAATGATGCTTCACTCCACCTGGCTCTCCTGAGAAGAGGAGATGTTTTTTGTGTAGTGCCTCTAACAGTGAATCATCATACCACTTCTTTTGCAGCCACAGAAAATGTATTATTTAACTTCAGCTTGCTTTTCAAATTACATTCATGTGGAACATTAATATTTAACTATCAAGTTTGTCATCAGGCAGCTGTGATTGCAAGTAGGGAAAGAACTTCAAACAAAAATATTTAAAAATTAGTTTATACCTTGATAAAATAGATTTATCATTAATGGATTATATTCCAATGACACGGTAAGATCAGATCAAGGAGAGGCCTTATAAAAGAGCAAACTCATCTGAATAAACTTTTTTTGCTTTTTTTCACTTTTTTCTTTCCTTCTCTTTCTTACTTTTATCCTTTCTTTCTTTCCCTTTTTTTTTTGGAGAGGGGGAGGTGAGGACAGAGGTTGGAGGTTATTTATTGTTTTACCAAAAGGTTGGTGATCACAGCTATGAAAATATGCAGTAATAAGATTTTTGAACCACATTGCATGGTCACAATGGATACCATTTTAGATTCTTTAAACAAACAACAACAAAATACCCAGAACTCAGTCTGATGATACTGAATCCTAGGCCAGAAATACAGGTCGTTGGGGACCAGTGAATTGGTTTGAGTCCATACCATCGTGAGACTGAGGTATCTGCCATTTGGTGACCACAGATTATTGATCACAAGTGGATTATACCAAAGAAATGTGGCTTAAGCTCCTCTATCCCTACTTTTGCTGTAATGCAATTCAAACAGATGGCCCAAACTGTTGGAAATGCAATAGTAGCAGTCTCACTTCCCAGAAGACTTTTTAATATGACAAATTGCTGTGACGAGGCAATCTGCATGACACTAATAGTTAATACAAAGCTAAACAAAAGTCTCAGTTCTAATGGCTTTATTATCCCATGCATGATAATTAAAGATTTATTTAAATGTTTGGTTGGTGACACTGAGCCTCAACCAAGTTTTGGGTTACCCAAATTGCCTGGCGTTTCAGAAAGGAAAATATGTGGGATGTTGAGAACACAATTTAATTTTGTTATCAGAGAATCCTCTGATCCAAAGGGAGAGAACAAAAACTTGAAGAAAATTAAATTAAAATGAGTTCACTACATCCTATGAATTGAGTCCTCAAATGTGGGGAACTGCACTTTGCTGAACTGAAAAGTCCACTTTTTTCCTGTGCTTAATTCCCTCTTAAGACATGGAGATCTAAGGAGTTATGGGGAAAGAAAATTTCTCAGCCTAAAAAGAATGGAAAGTGCATTGTATTTTGAGTGAAGTGGTTTTGGTTAAAAAACTTTCCAACCTAAACTTAAGTCTTGTATTATGTCAATTTGGCATTATTTTGTCATAATTGTTTTCATTATCTATTCTGATTTCAAAATAGTTCTGTTTATTATTCATTATAATGAGAGCATCATATGGACATGTCAAGGATGCACAGTAACTGTTAATCCTGATAGCTGGTCTGTAAGATTTCCTGCTCTTACTTTAATTTGTAGTGATTTGCCCATGGCCACACATCAAGTAAGAAACATAATTGGGATAAGAAGTCAAATGTTGCCATCATTCAGATTTCTACTCAACTGTTTAGCTCTGAAATGCCTAGTAATTAATTTTCTTTAAAAAATTGCTTGAAGTCTTTAGCACTTGGAACAAAACACAAAATAAATACAATCTGTGTAGACAGTCAATCTGAATAATTCAGTATTCCAAAAATACCTCAATCAGACAAATGCCTGATCTTCTTTTCACTTTGGGCTAAATACAACAGACCTTTATTTAAGTCACATTTTAATGACAAACCAAGAAAATCAACCTTACTTCCTTGTGCCCAATGAAGTAATAATAAAAATTCTATTAAAGCCCTCCAGCAATGCCTGAGAGTTCACAAATACTTTTGTGCCCAAAGAGCAGTACTATAATAAAGGAAATTATTCAAAGGATTACAGAAAAAATTAACCAGCCTGGGGTATATGAAAATATATAGTTATCTTAAGGCATACAGAAAAAATAAATACAGAATAGTCTGGTTTTTCTTGTCTAAGAGTTCTGATGTAATTGCAGGGCTCTTTTAACTATACCACACAACCCCCTTCAGTGTGTGTAATTACTGTAAAAAATTAACATAAAGCATAAGAGAATGGTAATTCACCTCAGTTCAGGTATTTACTAAGGGTCAAGGATGTCCTCACTTAAAAAGCTTACATTCTAATAGGAGAGACAGAAATATAAGCATCCATTTATGATATTGTTCAGTAAATTTGAGGATTAAGAAGTTTGTTTCCGTACTTTACAAGCACAAAAAAGGAGTATCCAACCCAGCCTAGTCCAACGGGGAGGGAAGTGGGATGAGACAAGAGGAAAAGCTACTAGGAAATGGAACCTCAGAGAAACAGGAAGGTTAAGGCAGGTTAGTGCTTAGAGGCAGAGATCAGGTAAATAAATTTACCATTTTGTTTATTTTTTGCTTTACTGCTTCAGGTCACCTGCTACTAATAGAAAGAATATTGGTGTTTATCATGTACATGCCTGTTTATTTTTTAAGCAATTTATCTTCTGTGCATCTTATCACAATGTGGGTCACTGTTCATTTGTTCCAAATCCTCAACTCAATTTAGGTGAATTGGGTCATTGTTATATCTTTCCCTGCATTTGCAAGAGTCAGTAGCCTTATTTGGTAATACCAATAATCCTTACTCCTCTCTCTTCCTCCATTCCAGGATCATAATGCCTTTTGTAAAGACCTGCCTAATGGTCCTGCCTTCAGTGCAGACAATATGGAAGAGTGTGACAGATGTTGTCATTGCCCCATTGTGTACAAGCGTAGGACGCAGCTTCTCTTCTGTCAGCCTGCAACTGAGCCACGACTGAATACTTAGACCCCAGGTCTGGAGATTTGGATACTGTAATACTTCTTTGTTGTTCTAACATAAAAGCACTACTGTTCTGTTCATTCCCCAACTGTTCAAATTAAGAAAGTTAATAAGATGGGCAACCCATCTAGAAATGCTTTTTGGCAGATCTTTTCATATAATGCTTTTCTAATTAAAAGCCAAGGATTTCATATCTAACTTTATAACTAGGATTATACAATAGGTTGGCAATACTTAATTTTAAAAGACAGTTTTTGCTTTAATCAAAGTATACATTTTATAACGACAAATCTATAATGATCAAGGGACATTTCTCTCAAATACTACAATAGTTTTGTGCACAGCTGCTCATAAAAATATGGGATTTCTTATTTTTTTTTTACCCTGAAAGTAGTACTTTTTAAATTACCTTTGCAGATAAAGTCATAAGGATACTTAGAGATAAAATAATACAAAGATCCCAGAAATTTCAGTAACAAAAGCATACAGTGATGACAGGGGCTATTAAATATAGTAAAACAAATGTGCAAATAGATTCATGAAAATGTGTTCCTTTTTAAATAGAGTATTGTTAACCTACAGACATATTTAACAAGATGTTTCAATTTACTGTATATTTTGTACTTATTGTAAATGTTGCTCTAATCAGATTGCTTTAAAGCAATGTTATTATATTTGTTATCTTGTTGAGCTAATATATAGAAAGAGTAAATGTATCTTCCACAAGGAACTTTATTGGTGATATTGCACTGTCTTGATTATATAAGCATATGAATCTTTTTGGTAATAGAATATAAAAGAGAGACATACAAGGCTTTTCTTTCTAACTTTTCCAGGCAAAATCCTGATATGTTTTACGACTGATGTTTATCTGACTGTGATCTTAATCCAAATCTAATTGATATTTCACTTAGGAGATGCTTTCTGTCTTGTACTTAGAAATTAAACCTGTTTTCTGCATTTCTATTAATGTTTCACTTTACCTTTAAGTAATACTGGTGCTATTTAATAACATATTACAATAAAGGCTATGTGTGACACTTAAGGACAATTTCAACTACAGTAATTCACATAGAGAGACTTTTAGAAGAGTTGTCAATTTGTTGAGTCCATGCTACTGAGCTATATATATAAATTAAAAACTAACAGCTACAAACTTTCAAGATGTTATCTAGTATGAGTTTTGTTACACAGTATAAAATTACTCTTATCATTTTTTAACTGTAGAGTCCTATTTCAGTGTTATGAGTCACTGCTGTTTTAAAAAGCTCTATTCCAAAATGATAGGCATGTACAAAATATCTCTATGATGTGAGTAGTTACTACAATTTACACATCTTAAGACAGTGTAAATGGTCAAATTTCAGAATTACTACTAGAACCCAGAAAATATTCCTTTGAATATCTTCACAGGTGGACAGCTCCTCATTCAATGAAGGTTAATTTTATTTTCCTAAAGTTCTAAGACTGGTGAATATAAAACATAATTGAACTGGAATAATATTCAGGACCAAAGCAAATCAATGATTAAGTTATGAAACTCATATCCTTTTAAAGGTAGCTACAAAAGAGACTTTTCAAAACTGCCTTAGGCCATTATAGCATCCTTAGAAAACACTCATGATCATTAACTTAAAGCGTTACTACTCATTTGACTAAATAGATGTTATGTTAGTTAAAAAGATCAATCAGTCTCATGACTTTATAGTTAAACTTGATTTAAGGTGTTTTAAAAAATATTTGGATATTTTGGTTGGGCAAAAAGCATTTGATTAATAAAATACCTGTTTAAATAAATCATGGGTTTCTACCTTTTCAAAAAGCTGTTGGCAAGTTTTAAAGTCAAAACCTATTAACTTTTAACAAGTGGAATATGATTTCCTTATTTCTGAATCACACTGATCATTTTCAAAAAAAGTTTTATTGTTATTTGACATTAATTACTTTATTTAAGACTGAAATTTTGTACCAAGTGGATCCAGGTTTCATATGCAAATATGTTGGTTCTTTTATTTTGGGGGAAGAGGTTGGTGATGATGGGACTTTCCCAGTATCCATAATAAACTTTCCAAAAAAGTCATAAAATGTTTTTATTGCTTTTATTATATATCAAACTAATCAATAAAGAACCTTTTCAAACTAATTTTTCCTTAGTAAAAACTCGTAATAGTTTAAAATACATGAGTTACTGCTTATTCAGGAATTTATTTGTGAAAAAATTAGATTGGTAATTTAATTTTGTTTTCCAAGCATTTAAAGAGATTCCCAATAAACTTTTCTATCTTTTGATGAATAGTATCAAATAGCTTGTTCATAAACCCACTATACTTCATATTATTCATAAAATAAAGTCTCTTGCTAATCCTAAATAAACTCATATTTCTGTTTTCAATTTTTTAAATAAGAAAGTAAAACAATATAAATCACATGTGCTTGGATACCAGTACCATGAAGCCAGATCAGAGTCCAAAATTATTTTTGGAAAGTCAGTATGTGAAGAGTAGTTGCTGATATTGGCGTAGATTTTCTTTTTGTTAGTTAATCTGGAAAAATGACCAATCTCCAATAATAAAGCATGTGTTTTGCTTTTTAAAATGCTGTTTAAAGTTTTGAAGAATGTAAAAGGCCCTCTCTTCAATAGTTTTGTGCATCCTGTGAATTTATTTAGATGCCTTTCTTGGGAAGCTTGGACTTTAGTGGAAAAAGCCCTGCCCTCCAGGTCAGGCATCTGGATTCCTGTCTCAGCACTGCCATTACTGAAGTGTGTCATCTCCTGTAAATGGTTTAATCTCAGTGTCTCAGTTTTCTTATCTTTAATGAGAGGATTGGACTAAAGGAGCTCTCAGGAGCTTCCCATCTCAATGTTTTCTATGACTTCTGAGGATGAAGACTTGGCTAGGTATATGTAAACTGTTCTTGCTGTTCAGTCCAGGAATTTTTAAAAATCATGACTTTTTTGTCAGTTAAAGGGCTGGTGTGCTATAAATACAGGAACGAATGCTTTCACTTTTTACTCTTCAGCTGATTATGAGACTGTATGTGTGGCTTTGATTCTTCATGACAGGGATTCCTAGATTTAAAACAATGCTGTCTATTATTATGACTGTTTCTCCCCAAATAATATGTTACTCTATAATTTGAATTAGTTACAATTAATTTTCTTTGTAGATTTTCCCACCAAAATCACTGGTCTACCACCATAATCACTGCCATCTTCATTTTTTGCCCACCTAGTTGCCACAGTCTCCTAACTGGCCTCACTTCTAGCTTCAGTATGATCTTTTCCAATCCATCTTCCCTTTCAAAAAAAAAAAAAAAGTGATCTCATCAAGACTTCCATGTCATTCCCCTGCTTACACTGTCAATTAAATTTAATTGCTCTTAGAATAAAATCCAGACTCTTCAGCAGCATTCACAAGGCTTTCACCATCAACCCATTGCTATTTTCAGTGACTCCTCTGCATCTCTCACTGAAGTGCCCACACTGCTCCTGTGTGCCCAGCTCTCTCCTGCCCCCATGGCAGCATCACTCTTTCCCTCATAGCCTAACCCCTCCTGTTTCCAAAACTTCTGCATTTTAAGTGCCTCTTCTTTGTCTTCATATAAAATCTTGTGCAAACTCCTGTTACCACTTACCACATGGTAAAACTAACCCAGGTAACTAACCCAACAAGACTACAGGTTAGCTCTTTGAGAACCAAAAAGATGACTTCATCTTTGTTTTCTGGGATTCTGAAAGGGTGCCAAGCACTTAGTGAGGTCAATAGATATTCTTCTGAATGAACAACTACATGGATAAATAATTGAAGAAAATTTAGGATGATTGCAGAGCTGGAGTAGGAATCACATGTTAACACTATAGTTTTCTTCATTTGCAGGAGGGGTTTGAAAAGTACTGACTCTAATAAGATTTTCCTTCTAACAATTTTCTCACTCATGAATTACTATGTTGGGAAAACCAAAATGTATGTAAAGTATATCAGTGTATTTCATCTTTTGGGGTAATGCCTGTCTTTACTCTCTATTCTCTTATCTGAAATTTATTTTTACATTTTTAGGGGTAGGAAACACTAGTACTTAGAAACCAGTTAGGAAACATTCTCTCTGGCATTTTAGAATGTTGTTATTTCTTTTACTGTCCTATTTCCCATTTTGAAATTTATAGTACTAAAACATTGTTTTTGCAGAGCTTTACATTTTAGAAAACACAGTCCCATACATTATCTTATTTGAATACAGGACAAGCTAAATAGCATAGTGGAGAAATCATATAAATAATGGCTCAGTTTCTTTAGCTTGCAACTTTGTCATTTTTGAATGTTTACTTAATAAAACAAGAGCTTTAAGAATTTTTACAAGGTTACATATTACTTTAAGATAAAAAAGTAGGTAGTGCTGCAATGAAAAATTATCACCACTAATGCAATTTACCATAAGTCAAGATTTTGTATATGTCCTTCATTCAAGGGATATATGTGTGTAGGGAGGACAAAAGAAGGAACTGAAGGAGGTACGAGTAGAGGATAAGGATATACTAGATATTCAGGTTATAGTTTTTAGGAATAAAAATAACTTGGGCTTCTGTATCTAATCATCCCAGTTTCTTCTCCCTATTTACCCGCAAAGAACCTAATGAGCCAAAGAAGGCACTTTGTTGTATTTTTAAATCATTTTTGTACACACTTCTCAGCTTTTTTCTTCAGATGATACCTGACCTGCCGCCACTGGAACCTCACACTTTGATGATTATTAGGTGAAATATATCTGTGGGTGGGGTAACATATGCATCTATTAGCAGGCATCCATTACTTCAGTGTGAATGGATGATCAGAGAAGGGGATACGGAAATCTATGTAAGGGACCAGAACACGAGAGCCTTGAGCTGAGCGCCACTTGAAAACATCTTACACTGACTAAAAGACAAGCCACCAAGAGAAAGTCAGGACAGAAAAGGGAAAACAGAGGCTCCAATGGCACAATCTTTACCCTTCACAGTTTCATTTTTGGACACCTCTGCCTAAATCCCTAGTGAAAAAGGGAATGGAAATTGAATGGGGGTGGAGGGATTTGAGGTCAGCTAAGACCATAAAGGAAAATTCCTTATATCTTATAGAATGAAAAGGGCCCTCGGAGGGGCTTAAGGGCCTTGCTAGAACCCTATGTCCTAAAGACAATGTTAGAAGAGGAAAAGTTAAAATGAAAATTGTACTACCACTTGTGACCATCTGTCTCTCTCCTACCTCATCTCTCTGTGCTGTTGACTGTTGCAGTGTATCTGTAGCAAAGAAAGAAGACTATGCAGCAGTCAGAGAAATCAGAGGACACCACTTCAACAATTATCCAAAAATAGGACAGACACCTATCTGCCTGCTCTTGGACGTGTTAGGTCATTCAGCTAAGCTGAACAGCTGGAGAAGTCGTTTTGCCATTATAGGAAAAGGTAGGGGTGGAGAATGATGAGAGGAAGGAAGAGACATGACTCAGAGTGGGAAATAGCACGTAACCAAGCACAAATATTTCTCCCAGACACAAATGGATCAGGAAGAGACAGGAACAACAGGTCATCTTTGGAGCATTCTTTTCTCTCCCCACTTCTGAGTAGCTTGTCATTGAGCACCTACCCGTAACAAAAGGGGAGAGAAGGGCACGAGGCAGGACCTGCCTCTCTAACTGAATGGCACACCAGTTCCAGACAACTGCTGGCTCAGCTAACTGGGACAGTGAAACAAGGAGTCATTTGGAAAGTTGTAGGGATAAACACACCATTTACCAGAGAGGGAGGTGGCAAGGATAACATGTTTCTTTTACTGAGAAGGAAATTGGTTAGAATTCTTCATGCATTACAACAGTGGGAGAATTCTGATCTCTGGTACAAATAATAACATTTCCATTTGTTGAGCATTTATTACTTGCTGGCATTTATTTAATCTGTGCAATAACCCTATGATGTGGGTTCTATTATCATCTTCATTTTTCAGATGAGGAAACTGATGCCCTGAAGTTGAATTTTCCCAAGATCACATAAGACTCAGGATTTAAGCCAAGAGAATCTGACACCAGAGTTCAGGCTCTTAATCTTTTTAGAGAGTATCTGCTATTTCTAGTCTTGAGCATGACTGTTCTAATGATTTATTCTCCCTTCAACCGAAATCTTTTTCATTCATCATTCAGCCATGTCACCTTTCCTGCTCTGAGAAGCACCTTTTTTTTTTCCTTTCTCCCATAAATAAAGTCTGTTTAAAGTCCTCAGTGTTGAGAGCTTCCCACAAGATTGTATTTAGGCTCCGTGTACCTCCTCCTTCTAATCCTTGAGCCTTCCCCCAGCCCTATTCCCTACTTTGCTGAGCACATCCTTTCCCTGTATGATCTTTGCTCTAGGCCTGAACACTCCAGCTAATGTCAGAAAAATGTTTTTCAAATGCCATTATTCCCATGTAAGTATCATAAAATTGTACTACCTTTAACAAAGACTGTCTTAATATGCATAAAAAACACAATGATGATCTTTCTCCTCAATGCTAGACACTTAGATATATAAAATATTAATAATTACAGTAATAATTTATATTTATACTAAGCTTATACCTTTCTAGATAGGGGCCACATTTTATATCTCTCTTCATCTGGTTGGAAATTTCTTATCAGTTTGTATATGTTTTAATATGCTATCCAATCCTACCGTCAGTTGTTTTACCTTGGAAATCTCAGGGGAAACCACATACAAATTTGTTTCTTTCCTATAGGAGACTTGCTTATGACGAGTTTTCAAAAGCAGAAAGACTAGATTGGAGCATACACTCATACCAATGGCTTGGTTGTATACTGTCATACTGCTTTTCAGTAGGTTTGTACAATTTATAATTGCTATTCATTATCAGCATTTGTGCATATATATGTATGTCAATAAAATCATACATATATGCATTTGTTACTAAGGTACTAGGTGGCGTTATTGAATAATATTACAGTATTCCATTTTGCAAATATAAAAATTTAACAAACATTTTTCTACAGTGATAATGAGTATTGTGATACCCACACTCATTTTTTCCCCTAATTTTTCGTTCACCTCTAA